AAGCCAGTTGACAATAAGCTTCAACTAAAAAAATATCATGTGTACACAACTGGAAGAGATTCAGAAAGCCAGTTACTTAAAAACTGAGCTGCTGATTAAGACAGGTAAGACAGGTTTGAATGCAAAATCAGGCTCTGGACACTGGCACGTTACTTATCTTCCATGCCTCAGTTCTCCATTAATAATAGGAAAGTGATAAAACTTATTTTGTGGGGTCAGCAAAACTATGAAGAATTTTAAAACGTACATCCCAGAAAGAAGTATCATTTAGTTCAGCATGCCACCACACATATGCTCTTACGGACCAAAAAAAATGTGCAATAAGTATGTTTACCAGGACAAATGGGATACTATGCTCATTTTAGCTATAATTTAAGGTGTTCATTTTGGCTCACCAAGGCCTTTAAAGACTGACTATTCAAAAAGCCATCCTTTTTCTCACTTTTTTTACTGCTAAATTCTGCTAAAGGACACAAGGTAAAAGCCCCAAGACTTAAAAGTCATTTGTCTGCCAAATGAGACTCACCAGTAAAGAGATTGCTCACCATGCCACCTGTCTGAAGAGCCTCGGGCCTCCAAGCAGGCTAAAAGATACATTAGGTGTTTATAAGACCATGAGTTATAATGGATTGATGGGTTAGGGAGGTTTTATGTTTTGGGTTTTGGGGTTTTTCTAATGGTAGCTTGCAAATTTGGTTGAGATTATTAGCAGACGTCGTCAAATTATTAATTGGTTTTATATGCATTGTTAATTTGAAGAGGTTTGTTCTCATTCACAGTATAATATAATAAGCACATTTTAAAAGTAATTTTAAGTGTAAATAACAATGTGTACCATGTGAAAGCAAAGCACAAGACATTTCTCACATTTACTCTTTCAGTTTTCTCTTCAGCTTCATTTCTATTTATTCAGCACATTTCCCATCCCAGCCGCATGAGGAGTTCAAATAAACTCTGGGTACACCTTGGTCACATCTTTCCTTTTCAACAAACACACAAAGGAGACTTTGAACACCTGATAGCCCATACAAAATTTTTGTATTGCATGGTCAAATATGCCATGCTTGAAGTTGAGAGGTTTGGTGGAGGATGTTAATACAGGAATCTCTTTTCTAGGTCTGGGCCTCTTCATGGGAAAACTTCCAAACCAGTTATGTCAGGTGGTGGTAGTGGACTGGGTTGGATTTGACAGCTAGAGGAAAGAGCACACTTGTCCAGGAAGCATCAGCAAAAAGGACCACAATAATATGATCAAGTGACAGCAGCTGGCTGTCAAAAAGCAGAAATGACAACCCAAGAAGGTCTTGGTGAAATATAGTACTAATCTTGACCTCCTAGCAAGACAGTTATTTAACCCTGCTGAGGGGCGTCAATGGGCTGGATCAGAAGAGGAGACAGAAGTTCAGAGCAACACTGGTCAGATTTTGCCTTTAGTTATTCTGTCATCATCTGTAGAAGAAGCATCCCTGAGCACTTGCTAGAAATTGTAAGCTAAGGAAAGATTCATACACACTGTTCATTACAACAGTTTGATCAGATTTGTTAATGAGACAGCAAAATCAGGTTTGTTCTATTTTGTAGGTTTCCAGTAAGGGCTTCAGGGGACCCCAGTCTACTGGCCCACAGCTAGTAAACACAGACTTAGGCATCTGCCAGGCCATGCATAGATTTGGTGATTCCCTTTAATTTCATTTTAAAATTTAATTAGATATAGTTTCCTCCCAAATACAAAGGAACCATTTTTCAAGTTCGCCAAACCTCCCACATCTTGGCTGAACAGGGAAGGGTAACAGCATTGAAGACATACACTTGCTTTTAAATTTCTAGAGTCAGAAGCTAAAACAAAGTTTTGAATACAGACAATCCATCTGATTTGTTTTCAAGGGACCCCAGAGGTATGAGTCATATCCACAGGTCTATTGAGAATACCATCTTTTTGTATGGGTTTGTGCTACCTTTTTACACTGGGGTCAGAATGAGAAAAGTGGGTTCCTCTAAAATAGCCTGTCTATAACTCATTTCTACTAAAATTCTGAATAAAGCACATACACTTCCTTAGAAACGCCCTGCACACAAGAGAAAAAGGGAGAAATTTCTCAGAGAAGTGAGCCGACTCATGTCCTTGTAGTTATGTCCAATATTTTGACAGTGGAGTAGTAATTAACCTTGCACTCTGCTCAGTATCACTGCATTTCTACTGTGACCACTATGAAGTGCTTTTTTGTGAAATGAAAGAATGAATCTAAGTGGTAAAATTACTGGAATGAGAGAGGAGTTCTAATGGCAACCTTGGCATCCTGCAATTTCACACATTAAAATATATTAAAAAAAAAACAACCTACTACAGTGCTTGTTGAATAAGACTAAGCTTTCTACTCTTCAAACTATTAATAAGGGCTTCCCATTGAGAAGACAAATACATGCTTGATGCATTTTTAATTCTGTGCCAATACATTTGACTAAAGCTGTTTGCTGTTTCAATGACAGGATTTAACTTGCCCTTCTGTATTCAACATTTCTGATTATTAATGACATTTAGAAAACACAGACAGAGGCCATCAAAGTTATATTCAGGTCAATAATTTTAAAAAGTAAAAATATTAGCAATTAAAGGACCAAATCCTTCTTAGACAGTAAAATTAATCATTTCATAAAATAAAATTTATTCATCCAATGGAATCAGTACCATAGCAAGGAAAAATATGAACTTGACCCTGCAGCAGTGATGCCTGATTGCAACTGAAGGCAAAAAATTGCAGCCTTTTCAAATCAGACATAAATATTATATAGATAATCTGTATATGTACAAGGTCAGTAGCCTTTTTAAGAAAGTGTATTTCAAGATATGTGCCAGTTAGTCAAAAAGCATTCTTGTCTGTAGTTTCTCTTGTAAATACATCCTATGCTTAAATGAAATCAGAAATTAATCAGAGGCTATTGCTGAAATCTAAACTACTTTTTTCTTTATGAACATCTCTGAAGTTCCAAGCAGTTTGTCTCCTAAATTTGCCAGGAGCATTTCTTCAAAGAAAAATAGAACAGCACTGGTATCAGTATTGAGAAGACCAGTATAGGGAGGAATCACGTTGAGTTATTTTTTTACTGCAAGAAATGGAAAAAGAATTCCCCTTTCCCACAGACTGATTATTATTTTGTTATTTAAGTGATAATGTAAACCTAAGGTTAAAATGAAATTATATATACTGATGATCTCCTGGTGACCTCCATTGTGCTGTTCCATTACAGCATATAGTAATAATACACTAACAAAGTGCACACACTTATGGTACTGACAAGCACCAATGCAAATCAAGCAGCGCAGGAGGCACATTACTTTTGTTTTAACCATTAAAGGCTCCAAGAAATACAATATGACAGCGAGAAGAAAGCAGGATTGGATTTTCTAAAGGTACCCAAGAGTGGCACTGATTTGTGTTTTCTTTGGTATCCTTTTTAAAAGGCCTTTAGCTGTGCCAATATAATAGATTCAAATCCTGACCTTTCCCAACACAATGAAGATACTCTGTATATCTTACCATATAACACAGGGAATCAATACTGTATTTTACTATATGTGAGTTAATTTTACCTGGGGAAGGAAATTACTGCTCTTAATACTAGAATACATTTTTTCCCCCTGCAAGTCAGTGAGTTTTAGCTTTGCCAAACCCTATCACTCTTTAAAAAAGGGTTTGAGAGATTTTAATAGCTAATAATAGGAGGAAACATAAAAGGACAAATCCAATTTAAGTGAAAGGGTTCCTGTGTAAGCATTACTTGTCAGTCTTTGGTCGTACTGTATAGGGACCAGCTACAGAGCAGTGGCAGCGAAGAAATATAAAGTCCAGATTTAATTCTGATACAGAGAAATACAATTTCAAAACCGGACGTCTTATCATAGGCATGTCCCATTGGAGAACTCATTTCCCTAGCAAAAGGCTGTCACTGCCATTATGTTGTACAAGGAACCAATTTACTACTACAGCTAAACAGGGTTACTGGTGCTGTTGGAACTTAAGCATTTGAAGTTATCGCTAGAAAAAAAATAGCATTTCAAATGTCAGTGAAATGGGAAGGTATAATTGAAAAGTATCAATCAGAGAAGCAAAAGGGTTTAGAAGGCTAAGACTGCAGTTTTAGTACTGCCTCCCCCCCCCCCCCCCCATTCCTCTTTTTATTTCTTTAAGCTTCTTTCTCTATTTCCTTTTCCCTTTCACATGCAACTTCAGATTTAATTCTGTAAAATAAAAGATTTTGGGTTGATACTTGTCCTGTGTCAGACATGCAACAAATTTTGATGATTTTCTTCTACAGTCTAGTGACCATAGTTTCACGAAACAAAACTCTCATCTCATCCTGCATCCAGAGCTGCCAATCTGGAAGATACCTAAATGAATGAAACAAAGATGATTTCAATTTTAGTTGCTTTGTTTGTCTTTTTTTTCCCTCCCTCCTTCTGAAACAAGACCCATTCACTTGAACCTCCTTTCTATAATAGAAGCTTTTCCCCATCCCAGGCTGATCCTACAGAGAATTAGAGAGTGAATAAACCTTTGAGCTTTCAGGACTTGAAAGTACAAAGGAATGGTCTATAAAATGAATTAATTTAATTTCAGAATATCCTGGTCATGCCACTATTGCCAAATTCTTTATGCTTCCCACTTCAAACTGCCTCATTTTGTTGTATTTTATCCTGAATCAATATGTGGCAATATTAGGAGCATACTTATCTAATCTCAGCATCAGAAGGCTGGATTTACACAATCTGCATCTCACGTACAGAATATCAAGCTTTCTTTCATTATTACTTTATTTTACTGTGCATAGCAGCTCTAGGGCCTCTAAAAAAAACAGCTTTTAGTCAAATAACAATTAGAAAAACAGAACTGGGGTATAACTTGCATATTTTACACCTTAAATAGGTTGCCAAATTGCGTGTATTAATTTGTCCTTTTAGCTGTCCCAGGGATAGCTGTCCCTGCTATCTGGCATTGATACACAGCAATTTTATCTGTTTCTTGGTACAGCTCCATGAATGCAAAACCACACAAGAAATTCTAGTTCGGAGCATTGACCCTTCTTCATATTTTGAACAAGCTTTCACCTACTAAAAAGAGGTAAAAAGGTGATGTTAGAAAGTTCTACTATAGTAGTGTAATGTCTTGTGAGCATATCTATTTACAGAAGAAAGAACATCACCCCCATGTTTCACAAGGAAATGAGACCTGTAAAAAGAGTCAGACTGGAATTCTGTGGTGATGAGGAAAAGAGTCCCCACATATTGCATCCTTCTCTTTCTACAAAATAATTCCTATGTTAAGAAAAAACATATATGCATTTCTAATGGACTTATTTTTTCAATTTAAAAAAAAAAATTGTCGTCAGGATGGTGTTCAGGATTTTTTTATTGTTTTTTAATGGCTGAAGAGTTTGAGAAAATTGATAATCAGGAATCAACCTAGGCTGTAGAAACAGAAATTTTTGTCTCTAGTAATTTTTAGGATTTGGTTGGAAAAAAGATGAGAGTTTCAGCTGAGGCTGGGAGAAAGACACTGTGAAGATAAAGTTGTATGTCTTCTTTAGAGTTTATTTAAACTTCTCTTGTTTCAGAAGTAATTTTACCTCACACGGAAGATCCTTTATCCACATTAGAGTGCAGATATATTCCTCCTCCACCACCTTTTTGATAAATTTCAATTTCAAATAACTTAATGGCTAACAGCCCGCAATTGTTCTTTATATTAATAGAAATACATGGTCTCTTTTGAAGTTCAAGTAGTAATTCAGTTCTTAAAATTCTTCTGCTGTTTATAAATTATTTGAGCAGGGATGTCATAGCTTTTACAATCCCTGTTCAGCTACATTCTCTTGTTCAATTGGAAGCAACTTCTATACACTTAGGAATCAAATGTGTTAACTGGAACCACCGAGTCATCAATTATATTTCTTTTGAACTATGGATCCAAGGTATTAATTGTATCATGTGTCCACCTCATGAAATTAGTGAGAATGATTATGAGTAAACAATTTTTTTACTTAAAAATTTTCATAGAAATTTTTGTGGGTGTGTGCTAGAAAGTATGAGGCTTTAAATATAATTCCTAGTTCTCACTCTCCAAATTTCAATTCATTAAAACAGCTGCAACAAATCAGCAATGTGTGAAATTTTAGTAGGAAAAAACCCAAACAAATAAAAAAATTCAAACATAATTTTAAATAAGCAATAATATTTGATAGAGGAAAAGTACTTTTGAAACGAGATGCAGTTCTACAAATCACTTGTTGATAGACTGCTTCTGAAATAAAAGCTCCCTTCCACTACAGAGGTAGGTCATGAACTACCATATCCTAGAGTGTCTTGATTCTCCCACTTTAGGAACAAGGTAAGTCGAAGTGAGCTGAAATGAGTCACTGCTGCTAGAACTGAAGGTAAAGAGGGGTTGCTTATTTCATCAACTAATATTGAGGAAATCTGTAATTTCTACTTGGACTGAGTGTGAAAATTTCATAGCTCTGATTTTGTTTCAGGAAGCTGAAGAACTATAGATTGTTCAGGGGTTTCTGCCCACAACCATATCAGTCATGCAGGCAATGAGGGGCAGCTACCCCCTGTCACAGCATCTTACAAACAAGGCTTACAAAGATAAGCCAAAACTAGATTCTTTTTTTCAGATCAGTTAACAAGAAACCCAAAAAAATAAATACAGTGGCCAGGAGGATATTAATAAAGAGACAAAAACAGAGGGAGATAAACTAGACTGTTCACTGACAATTTCCAAACAAAAGGAGGAGCTAATTTACAGCAAGTCATTTTAAACACCTCATCCAAATCTGAGCTCAAAATAGTGATATTTCTTAAATACTGTGTGCAGCCACTTGGTAAGATGTGACATTCCTTAAATACTGTGTGCAGCCTGTGATTCTCTGATGATAATGGGAGGGGGGAGATAGGCAGAGGGAGATAGGATAGCAATAATACTTTAAAAATGTTTCTTCCCTTTAAAGAAGAGAAATTGTCTCCAATAAAGGAATATCTCTTCATTTTATCAGCTCTCTAGCCATTTCTTGTCACCAGATGAATACTAGAGTGCCTACTACAAAATACAAGAAAGAAAAATATATGCTTTAAATACAATAATTCGTTAAAAAATAGAAAAGAGATGCCTAGATTTTTTTTCTAGGATAAAAGGAACCAACCACTTTTTAAATCAAAACTGGGAGAGAGGGAAATTAAGAAAAAAACCAGAGGGAAAAACCAACAGGAGTAATATTGATGCAGCTATGGCAAAACCAAACAGACAGGCAGGGACAAGATTGCATCCAACCTCCAAAACACATGTAAAGTTGGAGCTAAAATGTCATATGCGTATGCAATTTATATGCAAAAATCTTTTACATAAAGCTACTAACTGCCAAGTCTTCTTTCACAACTTTTTCAAGGCTTGCAGTAACTCTGGGATTTTATATTCTCCCTCCATCACCTTACGGAAGGCACGACTGTCTGTGAAGAACATGGAAACTTTCTTAAGGTCATGGTATTAAATTCTTCTTTACATTGCTGGGCTGGTGGCTCAGCAGGAAAACCTATTTTTTGCTTGTGTTCAAGCAACTTCCCTGGCAGTTATTGCCTGCAACAGACTGTAGGGAAGTTGCCAACATTTAGAAGCTCTGATGATGTGAGCCAACCTTAGACTAATAATTTTTTTATCTCAATGTAAGTGGAAGAATTACATAAAAATAGACAATTTTTAACAGTATGGTATTCTGTTATGAGAGAAGACTAAATAACATGGGTGCCATATGAACATCTTTCTCCTATCTACAGCACCTAACTTTAGCATAGTCCATATGTCTATTTGTCTGATAGCTGAACTTATTGAAATAACATGGGATTACAAAAGAGTTCTAAAGCTCAGTGCCTCCAAACCTTTTGAGGTGAGACACCTATCAGTCGTAAACACTTTTTTTTGCATAACCCTCAAAAACAAAACCAATTAGCGAGTGCACTGGAATAGTACATGGGAAACCCAGACACATTTTTAAGAGTCCAGAAATCAGAATGAATGCTGTAGTCAGACATTTACTACAGTCTTGTACCTCTATCTCGATACATGCAAGAGCTTCTACCACAGTCTCTTAAGAAGCTGCAGCATGACAGCGTAGGGTGGAGAAGCAAGCCCCAGAAAACTCAGCCTGCACACACGAGTGAGTCAGTGGCGAGCACTGGTGATGGCATACAGAGGAACTGGAAAAAATTACTTCATTTCCAAGTTATTTTAAACTCAGACAGAGCAGTTTCCTTGAGATGAGAAAGATGGGCAAGGCCACCAGAAGGAGACAAGCAATGGTGTTACATTTTGCTTTCATTTCTCGTCTCTGTGGCGATTGTACATTGTCAGACTCTTCTGTGAGCATTTCCAGAGCAGAGGCCCTGACATATCTGCTCCCAGCAAACAGTTTAAATGTTGGCTTTAAATTCCTTAACAGATTCCAGGCCATCATCTTTTTTAATTAAATGCAAAAAAACTATGTTAATGCAACGTTAATGTTGAGATTGTCATTGGACAGATGTCAAGAAATTCAAAGTTATGGTTCCCACAGCAACCATAATTTAACGAACCCCTCCCCCACTTCCACAACCACCCTCCTGAAACATATTGGTCTCAAATTGTACAACAGGCATCAAAGTGAGGGGAAGATGTGAGAGGCAGAAACTGTGCCCAGGACCCTTTGGAGCTGCTGTAGATGGGCTGGACTTTGCCTCAGTCCTCCTGGAGGAGAAAGTACACCTAGTGGTGGCACTGGGACAGAGTGACCCCTATCTACACTTGACAGCAGTTATATTATTGTGTGGCAGGGGTAAACTGGGAACTAATTTCACTTACTTCAGCAGCATATTCAGCTGCATACCTAACCCAGGACAAATCAACCGTAACTGTAGTTACAAAAATGACCCCTATAGCCCATGTGTGAGTATCAAGCCAAATGCTGAAAGGAACCAGCTAATACATAACACAGCCAGCAAGGCAGGTGTATTACCGTAGCCACCACAGTCAACATCGCACAATGGAACTATCCTTTCTTTATTCATCCCAGTATACAACACACTTCATCACTATGCACCAGAGCGAACACTGAAACACACAAAGCACAGAAACAATAATTTCCAGTGAGATAACATTTTTCACAGTACAGCTTTTCAGATCATGATCTCTCAGGCTTTGTATGTAAAGGAAACATACAAATTTCTTCTAAAAAAAAGAGTCTGAAACTTAAAAAATAATCCAATGTAGTGCTAAAAATCATACATTTGGAAGCAGTACTGGTTTTCTGACATTTTATAATTTTCCTTATATGTCATTCCAACTAAGTCCTCAAAATTCAATACATCAAAAAAAATAAAAAATCCATTCACCCAATGACCTCATGACATCTCTCCTGCTAATATCACCTAGTGTGCTATAGGTCCCAACTGCCCTTCTTCTAAATTGTCTAATTAGAGTTAACCTAATTAAGTTAGCCGAACAATTACCTTCAATATATACTCAAGTTTTCTGCTTAATCTTCAGATCTGTAAAAGAACTTACATTCATGAAAGTACATCTGTTTTTTTCCAACTTTATTGTTTTCCTACACCTCTCCCTCCAAACCTCTTTAGAGGTATTTGAAGGACTGTTACAGCTACATACACTAATCTTCTGTCATTTTGCACTGCCTTTTTTTAAGATCTGAAGTCTTTGAATGACTCTACATTTAATCCTGAAGCCAGTGAGTTACATCAGTCCACCATTAAAACAGTTACTACATGCTACATTGCCAGGACCTCATCTGAGCAGAAATGATAAATTTCGAGGTAAAACACCATGAGAAAAGAGTACTTCTACTACTAGTGTTGCCTGACCATATAGGCCAGTGTTGGAGACAAGCAGAATTTGGATGTTTTACATCATTCACAAAACGTGAAGATTGATGCTGCTGGTGAATGGGGTAGCATGAGCACATCACTGTCATCCAGGGCTGGCTCAGCTGTGCCCATCTAAATGGAGACCAACTTCTTTTTTTTTTTTTTTTACCAGGTTTAAGACTGACATGGAAGAGAAAGAATCCTTACCAGAAAGTGTTTACAACTGCTACCTGTGTGTCCTGCATGCCCATTCACTAGTCTTGGCTTTAGGAAGCTTGCTAAAGGATTACTTCCTTAAGTTTTATCCCTAAAAAGCACTTGACCTGTGTGTGGAATGGAAAGAGAAGGTAACAAAGAGAGGGGAGAAGGAAATATGACCTGTAGGACATCCACCAAGTGATTTAAGTCCATGTATATAAAACGGCAATTTCACCTTTGAAAGACAAATCAAGTAATGCCTCTGACACTTACTCTTTCCTGTCAGACACTTCTTTTATCCTCAAGACTGCCCATAGCTTAAAAGTTGCATTATATCTTCTCCAGTGTTAGTGCAGCGGTTTCCCATTTGATTTCATATTCAGTTCATATTTGTGGAAGCAGGAGGGGCTCTTTACTTTACTTGATAAATGGCAACATCTGGCTTTGTGATGGGCCATCACTAGCATGTTTAAAGAGCTGCTGACGCTTTAGGGAAAACTTGGTAAAACATTTCATTTAGAGGCAATTCTAGTTATTTATTCTATTTTCTGCATTCCTCGTCCTCCACTTCATACTAGGGACATTTGCATGAAAACAGACCATAGATCCTGAAGAGTTCATCTTCACATAACATTTTTCATCTGATGTCCTAATCACTAATTGTGCTTGTGTCACAGCAATCATATCTGTAGCAACCACTCATGATGTCATAGAAAATTAGAGTTTCTGAGAAGGGTGATGAATAGGGCATAATGATATTAAAGGTCCAAACTCCTTATTATGGTACAGCAGTGTAAATTTGTTAGAAATCTGTAACAGAAAACTGAATCGTGCTATTGCTCTTATACAAGCACACACAGGACTTGACCTTTTCTTTTGGTTACAGAAACACAGTGAGCTAAACATTCCTGAATACCAGCATATTTATATAAATACCTTAACCTGTCTATATATAGATACTTTAAGCAATTGAAAAAATGAACAGGTAGTTTCTCAAATCACATTTTTGTAAAATCTCACAGGAAGCTTCTTGAAGTAGCAGCAGGTCAAACATAGCCAGAGGTGTAGACATTGTACAAACAAGGTTTCTCCAAAAGCCAAAATAAATTTTTAACTCTTATTCTTTAAGTTTTGTGCAGTTTTGTGCTGAATATTTGTAAACCAGTAAGTATTCCCCATTTCTTCACCATGTGCTCAACAGCTTATCCAAACCTGGAAATCATAAATAATAAGCAGGAACAATGCAATGATAGGGATCTGGCCCAGGCTTTAGAATGGTGATTTATTTATATCCTGTGTGTAAATACTGAAACATTCTTATTTCATGCATTAAGCAAAATGAGGCAAAGGACTTCACCTCTATGATGTGAATTCCATACTTCATCCATCAAAACATCCACCAAAGAGGGAGCACAAATTCTTCTCCTCAGGTCACTACTAGAAAACGTGAGTCCCAGGAAGTCTGCTTCTGGCAATTGCACAAACATATCAAGAGGTACAAGGGCAGATGTACTAAGGTGGAAGAATTAAGCTATGAATTTTTGAACTTTTAGGTTCCTTGCTAGGAACTGCTGTAGGGACAGAAAAGACATTAACGTGACCTGTGCTCTGAGCAGTCATTCCACATCCTGTGATTGCACAGGTAACAGAGTCCATGCAGATGACATTAGGTGCAGTTCTTTCCTGACCCTTAAGTTCCACAACCTCACATAGAGAAGAAAACTACAGCTTCAACCATGGGAGACCACCCTTGTCACCATTTTCCCGGAAGGAAATACTACTGCAGCTGAGCTTTGCCTGAAGTTTGATAAATACTGCAGCTCTTTTCATCTCTGCTCCCAACTGCACTGTCTGGAAATGCCCATTTATGCACTTATATATGTTATTGTAATGTGCAAAAACTTGGAATTGAAAAGAAGGTAAATAGTGTATCTTTATGCTATGTTACATTTTCTGGAAGTGCAATTGAGGTATCAATCATTCCATTCTGGCTGCATTGATCGGTAATTTTCATTTTGTAATTTCAAATAAAGCTTCTCTCCACAGCAGCAACGGCAGCACTTTCCAGCATATAACTTCAGTTCATTTTAGCTTCATGACTTAAAGATCCTCTCTCCCCATCATTCTTGCTCATCTTCTAAGTGGTAATTCCACTTTTCCAATTAGATTACTGGAACATGCCAAGTAAACAGTCACCTTTTCCTAGAACCATAACATCTAACCAACAAGCAAAGTTAGTTCAAACAATAGCTCAGCCCCTACATTCCCACTGTAGCACCCACATTTCAATGTGGATCTTTACAAAGATAGAGAGAGAAAAAGAGAGAGAGAGAGAGTACATATGTGTGTATATATAAAAAGTATGCATATATATATACATATATATATAAAAATAAAAGTGAACCTTAATAACCAGTACTAATGAGAGTGGTTGTTCAATTTACACTAATTTTCAAGAAAATAAAAATGTCAGGAAAGACACACACACACACACATACACAAAAAAAAAAAAAAGAAAAAAAAAAGAAAGAACGAAAATACTGTAAGTGGCTGAAGAGAGAAACTAGGCATGTTCAAATACTGATTTACCACATAGCCCTAGGCAAGTTACTTCTCTTGTCCCTCAGATTGCTCATCAGTAAAATGGGGATCATAACCACTTAATTCAACAGGCTGTTGCAATGACATACAAATTCATTGCTCTTTCAAAAGCTGTGAGCTCTCCTAATGAAGGGTTCCTTTGAGATACAAAGAATTCATAGTGGGAAATTACTAAAGTAGGAGTAAGGCTCATTTTCATTAGTTCTGACCAACATTTTTCTGTAATAGCAGGTTTGGGTTAGACATTAAAGCAAAAAATTCTTACAAAACTGACGAGAAATCTGACAGAAGGAAAAAGAGCAAGAGCGACTTTGTCGGGATCAGTATTCTATTTTTTTTTCTTTACTCCTATTGTATTTAAATGCTGTGTACCAAAATACTTCAGACACATCAGAAATATTCAAAATAAAGAAGCTTCAGAGAACCTTTACAACTGACAGTAAAACTCATTTGAGAAACCAGGACAATATTACCTAAAAGGTCCATGAATCCTGCATAAGAGACCATGTTATAAATTAATTATAATACTTATGCAAAATTTTACATATTATTTATGTTACAGTAGCACTTTGGCTTGAAACTATGATTTAGGCCACACAAGGCTGTGAAGAAAATATTGCTGAAGAGCCTTGAGGTGGACAAAGGGAAGAAAGAGGTGAGGCACAGAGGGAGCTGGTGTGACTCATGAATCATCACACCGTAGAAGAAGCCAGGCAGTTTTGTCTTCCAACCCATCTGGTTAGAAGGCTATAGAAGCACATTCACACATGTTTTAAGAATGTGCTTTGACAATGGTTGCACACCCTCATAAATTTATTTTCAACACTTATTCACAAACTAAATGTTCAATTTCAAAGGTGCCTATCAAAAATAAAAACTTACAAGTTATATATTTATGGGAAAAAAAGAACCATCCAAACAGAGATCATCAACACACATATTTCATAAGACCTGAATTAATACATGGACCATTGCTTCTTTCACAGAGCAAATCCACATAAACACATGATTAATCTTGTCCTTTGTGGTCAGAGTTCAGCAGTTGATGACAAAGGAGATAACACTTCATCTGGAAGAGTGGTAGCCATAGTAGGGATTTTACAGCAAACTTTTCTCACTGAGGCAACTTAGTATGGGAAAGGAGTCCAGTCTCAGCTCTGCCACCTGCTTTTCTGGTGACTGATCACAGCACTTCACGACACCACTTCTTCCCCAGCCTTTGAGTTCATGCAATCTCTTCAGATTATATACTCCATAGGGTCTACTGGGACTTCCCAGCATCAATCTGATACCACCACTATCACCTTTTGCTAAGGCCTAAGACTCTCCATCTCTCCTCCTCAAGGACTTTCCATTACACAGCAACTCTGATACAATTTTGCACAGGACCATTTGCCCTGAGGGACTTCAATCATGGGGTAGGCTGCAGCCTAAACTACACACTTTGATCTTCCTGCTCTTCTTCATGCATTAGAGGACATGCTACCCAACAACTCCCTCCCAGAATCCAGTGGCTCCCACTGACCTCAGTCCCAACCCATTCCACTCTCTCCCGAAACTTTTCTACTTCTCTTTTCCTTGCTAAAGGTAGTGCTGGGCAGCAGTGTGAGGAACTGCAACAGATGCAAGTCAGGTATGGCCCGGAGGTCAGCAAATGATGGCAGCCTGGCCTGAGTTCACTGTAGGCAGAACCAGAGGCTACAGGAGCATTGAGGGTCTATAGCAGGGGTTTCACACTGCAAGCCAGCATGAAGGGTCCCTGTGCCACCAGCAGTCCTTGAACTCAAGCTGAAAGCTAAAATTCATCAAGTACAAAACCCCTGCCTTCCTGTAAAAAACTACTACCTGCCATTGAAGTTTTCCTCAAATAGCATACTACTATTAATCCACTTTGAAAAGTATGATCATAGAGAAAAGTATGATAATAGACTTATGGGTGTTTAAACCACTACTGTCATAAGACAACAGGACTAAGGAGAAGGAACTTTATGCTGCAGCAGGAGTTTCCTCACAGTCTCACTGCAGGAGAGAAGACCAGAACAAGTAATTCAACTCCCTTGAAGACTAGTGGAAAGTTTTAACCATGCTAGTAGTGCCAGCAACTCTTACCTTACCACCAGTGTGAGGGACAGGGTGTGCAGGGTAGAAGTCCCTTCACTTCAGGGCACAGCAGGGCAGCTGTGGGGGCATGAATGACATGGGTGGACATTTTTCCCCTCCCATGTCTGAGGCAGCAGCAGCTGACAGGAATGGAGGGGTAGTGATTCAGCCTGAGCTGATCCTTTGTGCCACTGTTGTCACTGAGAATTGATGTTCATACACACACAGCCCTCAGCCCACTGCCACTGCAAGCCCAACAGCCTCTCCTGGCTGTGCTTGCTGGATGATGCAGCACTTGTTTTACCTAAGAAATGTCTTTTCCAGGCACTGTGTTCTGATTACAGCCTTTCATCAGGCAAGAGTGGATAACTGAGGCAAGAGAACAGAAACTTGACCTGTTTTATGGGGTTTTCTTATTTCATGCTGAACCTAAATGAGTTTAAAAAAAAGCTCATAACACCTGATTAAGGATAGCACTATTTATACCCATCAAAACTTTGCCCATTAAAGCTTTACCACATCACTCCCTCTCATGGAAGAGTCCAGTTAAGGGCTAAAACTTCCCCACTTCTACTCTTTCAAAATTCGGCTTAACCCAAAGGTAGGCAAATACAATTACTGAGTTGTATGAACTAGATGGAGTTTCTTCTTGTTTTGTGCAAAATTTCCTTCAGTTCGGCCATCGATAGCAGCACCCAAATGACAAAATCTAGTTTCCTTCAGCTGAAACAAGAATACATGTTTATTTACTTAACAGAGAAAGAATTTGGAAACATGGAGAAGCTGAGCAGTTTTGCAGGCTACAGCACAATTTTACTGAAAGAACTTGACTAAACCAGTTCCTCTGCAACCAATACTTAATGACAAGACGACACACATTCATCATTTTTTTAATCTAAACTTTGGCATATAAGAAATATTGAAATAAACTGAGCTGAGAAACAA